AAAAAAAAAAAAAAAAAAAAAAAAAAAAGATATGACAGAGACCGTTAAAAACTGTGAAAGACAAAAGACATGCAAGGTATTGGAAGGTATAATCTAACTCAGTGTTCTGGGAACAGAGGTTCCAGAGAAGTTAGACATACTTTGGAGATTGTTTTTATTTCATCTTCTTTCATATTTCAAAACACCCCTGGGGTTGGAAGATCTGAGCTATATCCGGTTGCCCTAGGACTTGGGACTTTGAGGCCGTCAGCTGTCAGCTGTGCATTTGGGTGAGCACTGAGGCTTCCTGCAGTCCTTGCTAACTAGGATCATGCAGGTTCTTGCAGCAATGTGGGCAGAAAGAGGGAAAACTCCCCCGTGCTGTTTCAGCCCCTAAGTCACAGGCCCTGGTGATCCCCCTGACTTGAACCGGCATGCTTACACTATGGCTGTCTGCTATTACTCAATGAGCTGCACGCAGTCATAAGCGCTTCTCATCTCTGAATTACTTTTTCCTGACTGTAGCCTGCCCTCCTTGTAAGCTGCAGTATTCCGAAAACATGATGTGTTCTTGGAGTAAGGAATGATTACTCCCTGAACACCCTGTCTCTGTGCTGGGGCCTCATTTACAAACCCCACTAGACTATTTTTCTCCCCGTTTTGTGATGCTGTTAACTACAGCCTAATTGCTGCTGCTTCATTCTGCCTTGGGTGTTCCGTTGTCTCAGCTGCCTTGCAGGTTTCTCGTGAGGGTCAGCAGAGGAAGGGGGCATTATTAACATTAAGCTGTCTTGTTACTAGGAGGCCTGGTAGCCATAGAAACTGCAGCTGACTGGAGATTTGAAATGTAGATATTTGGAACAGCCCCTAATCTCTGCCAGTTTTGCTTTGTGTGTGGTGAGGGACACGGCCTTGGAGGGGAATAAAAAATGTCTTGCCTTCCTTGGTCTGCAATGTATAGCCAGTGCCTAGCTGCTGGCCCCAAAGGGTCAGGTGCTTGTCTGATGCTGCAGCTCTAACCCTGGCTGCCTGCAGTTCAGCAAAGCTTTTCTTGGAGCTGAAAACCAGGTGGAGCCCAGAGCTGAGTAACTGTTGATTAAGCAGTGGGTGTGTGGTGCCCAAGTATGGGGACCGAATCCTTCCTAAACTCATCTCTTCTTGGGATCAGTTGGGTAAGGAGAAAGACGCCTTCTATGTGCTACAAGGAAGCCCCAAAGGGATTCATTCTTTAGCCACACACTGGCCTCTCTTTCGAGAGGCTGACATCATGCACAATATCTCCATGGAAAGATATACATAGAGTATCCTTTTCTTTGTATATCTTTTTTTCTTTTCTTTGGAGACAGGGTCTTGCTTGGTTGCCCAGGCTGGAGTACAGTGGTGTAACCACAGCTCATTGCAGCCTTGACCTTCCGGGCTAAAGTGATCTTTCCACCTCAGCCTCCCAAGTAGTTGGTACTACAGGCACACCACCACACCTGGCTAATTTTTTATTTTTGGTAGAGACAGGGTCTCACTGTGTAATCTAGGCTGGTCTTGAACTTCTGACCTCAAATGATCTGCCCACCTAGACCTCCCAAAGTGCTGAGATTACAGGCATGAGACACCACGCCTGACCTATATACCTTTTCTTTGTATACCCTTTTGTATCTTCTAAATTTTATAACACATGCATATATTACTTATTAAAAGAATTTTAGGCCCAGCACAATGGCTCATCCCTGTAATCCTAGCACTTTGGGAGGCCGAAACCCCGATTCTACTAAAAATACAGAAAATTACCTGGGCATGGTGGCAGGCACTTGTAATTCCAGCTATTCGGGAGGCTGAGGCAGGAGAATCGCTTAAACCCGGAATGTGGAGGTTGCAGTGAGCTGAGATCATACCACTGCATTCCAGCCTGGGCGACAGAGTGAAACTCCTTTTTTTTTTTTAAAGAATTTTAGCTGGGCAAGGTGGTGCATGCCTGTAGTCCCAGCCACTTGGGAAGCTGATGCAAGAGTGTCATTGAGCCCAAGAGCTTAGACTGCAGTGCACTGTGATTGTACCTATGAATAGCTACTGCATTCCACCCTGCACAACATGTGAGACCCATCTCTAAACATTTTTAAAATAATAATTTTAATGAAATAAGGTTATGCCAAAAAAGGTAAAGCAGAGTTCCTAAGCCTTGTTTTTCTAGACAGATAAAAATCTAGACAGATTTTTTAAAATGTCCACACAGGCTGAAGTAGTCTTGTTAAACACTGAACCCATTGTCACTGATTCACATTCCTAAAAAAAAATAAATAAAAATTGAATCCAGGGTCAGTTGTAGCGGCTCATACCTGTAATCCCAGCACTTTGGGAGGTCGAGGCAGGCAGATCACGAGGTCAAGAGTTCGAGACCATCCTGGCCGTCATGGCGAAACCTTGTCTCTGCCAAAAACACAAAGATTAGCCAAGCGTGGTGGCGTGCACCTATAGTCCCAGCTACTTGGAAGGCTGAGGCAGGACAATCGCTTGAACCCGGGAGGCAGAGGTTGCAATGAGCTGAGATTGTGTTACTGCATTCCAGCCTGGTGACAGAGCGAGACTCCGTCTCAAAAAAA